TGCTGAAAAAATTAATTTCTAGCGTGCTTTTTAATTACTATAGAAACATAAACTAGTTCTAAGGTATAAGGCTTTTGAGATATTTTCGTTTTTTATTCGAAATATTCAGAATCTGTACAGCTCCGATTAAGGCAATGTTTCGTGATCGGAAAATTATTTTTCAAGACTGCCATCCTTTACAAAACATAAGTAAATTGATGTTATGCTAAAAACGAAGAATAACAAGGTTATACAATATTAAATTTGTAAATCAATTAATCAGTTAATACATGTGATAAGATGACAAATCAAATTGTATTGTGATGGCGAGTTTCTTCGTCTTCGCAGCGTCTCCTTCGATAACGTCGCTGCTATTTTTACAATGTTAACAAATTTTTCAGATTTTTTCTTGCTGACAATTCTAAAATATAAGGTTGGATATTCAATTTCATATCGATAAAATCAGTGATGTGGTCGTCCACAATGCAGAATATTCATGTTGTATCGCGTATATTTTAGTAAGATTAACTATAGAGCTGATCAGCCATTGTCGCCTTTGACGTCACAGGGTCACGTGATCGCTATCTAATTAACTTAGATTTTTAATTCAGGGGTTTTCATTTGAGTCAATAATTGGTTAATTACCGCGGTTTATCTGCAGCAAAAACACAAAATTTATAAACTGTAGTCATAAGGAACGTTTTACGCTTTTAATTTCAAATAATTTAGAAACATGCGATAAGTCCTTTAAGAGACATTATTAGAAAAAAAAAACCTTCAGTTTTCAAGTTTATTAAGCTTCTGAGTAAGAATTTTTGGAAGTTTGAAATTTTAAGTTAAAGGGTACCTGCAGTGGCTATTTATTTTTAAATATGTTGAAGATCATGCTAAAATAAAACTAAAGAAAAAAACCGCACCGAAATCTATGCACAACTAACGAAGATATTGGGGAAAAACCCTATTTCACACCTGAGCGATTTTCTGAAACGCTCGGTTTTCGGGCCTTAGCCACTGTGACGTCACAACATGTACCGGCCTTTTTGAATGCATAGAATACAGTGGAAACACGATGAGGATTTTTAGTGTTTTTTCATTAATTTTTAGGGATTTTGTGAATATTAAATTAACGATGACTATAGTATTAGTTCTTAGTTTTGTTTGAAATTAGTTTAGTGGATATTTTTTTCATTATTTCTTTGTGTGTGGTTATAATAAGTAACGATACTAGGAATCGCCAAAAATCATCGATTCATATTTTCCAATAATTAGGAATCGATGGATTATGCCAATTATATCATCAATTTTTTTTCCTTCCGAATATGTATTGACATTTTTTTTTAATTCTATTTGTAAGCAATAATCACAAAAAGACAGTACACAAACGTACGTTAATAAAAGAAAAGATTTCTAATTTAAATAAAAAATAGTAAGTACAGGGTTAGTTTAAAGGTCCCTTCTTCTACAGAACCAAAAGACAAATTTCAACAAAGCATGTCTTGTATACAAGACATCAACACCAATCTTTGGTAACAGGAGAAAATAACTGGATAATTGATACCAAAGTTGTGGAATTAAATAAAACTTCTATCACAGAAAATTATTTATTGTAGTAATAACTTTTAATTACTACATATAAGTACTCTGAAGTTGATATTTAAAAAGATTCTCGAGTTTCTGATTGACAATATGTGGTTTTTGAAGACCAAGTCTTCCAACAATCTGTTGGAATTCCCATGAGTGGCAATTGCGCCCCGTTATTAGCAGACCTGTTTATATATTTCTGTGAAGCAGAATTTATTCAAATATGTCTACATGAGAAGGATACACTTGCTGTGGCCTTCAACTCGACATTTAGATAAATTGATGATGTATTATCAATTAACAATAGTTACTTCCATTCATATGTCGACTCGATATATCCCAGTTGACTTGAAATAAACGATATCACAGAGTTTGACACACCTGTTTCATATTTGGAAATTTTACTAGAAAAAGATGTTAATGGTAACCTAACAAACAAGTTTTATGATAAACGTGATGACTTCAACTTTTCAATCGTCATCTTCCCTTATTTATGTAGCAATATACCCTTAAAACCTGCAAATATACTTATGTCTCCCAGCTGATTCGATACGCAAGAGCATGTTCTTTGTACGAGCGATTTTTAAAACGAGGCAAGCTATTGACAAATTAATTGATGATACAAGGATATCAAGAGTATAACCAGTGACATAGCATGCTCCAGTTTATATGCGTAGAAACGAAGCGTAAACTGAAGTCTCAGATCGGTGTAAAGCACAGGCAAAGTTTACACTTGAATTGGGTAACAAATAATCCCTTTGGGAACAAATATAAACGTTTCTTATAGCGTTCAATTATTTGTTTAAAGAAAACAGTTATGCCTGTTCGAATTTGAGAAAACTCGGGAAATCGCAAATAAACAACAATCCGATACTCTAGATTTTTCAGAAATAGCAAATACTGAGTTATTGATTACTTAACCTCTACATACATTCTTATGATTTGGAACGTGAATTTTAGCTTCACGGATAATTAAAAAAACAACACTTTTTGCCGCTTTGTTGATTTCAATTTTTTTACCATACCATACCTATAACCACTATTAATGTTTTCTTATCTATTATCAATTCCGTACTTCCGTACACAACGCAGATTTAAATGTCAAAGTAAGCCGTTGACTGTAAAAGTCAGCGCTTCTAGCAAAAGTCCTATAAGCTCTGTATCTTCTACATTCTTACTTCTGTAGAGTTTTTTTTAATTATTAGTCCCCTACCGGTGAAACTGGAGGGGACTAAAGGTTCCCTTCTCCGTCTGTCTGTCCCTATGTCTGTCTGTCAGTCTGAGCCACTTGGTTTTCCGCACTTTTTTTCTAAATGCTTGCAGATAATGATCTGATTTTTGGTATGTGAGTGTATCCTGATGAGTTAGAGATCAAGTTTGGATTTCGTTCCGCTCCAATCATTTTTGAGGAAGTTAGGGTCTTTTTTTAATTTTTAATGGTTTTCCGCACCTTTTTTCTAAATCCTTCGGTTCAATAATTTTTACGGAATTATATCCTTTTTAATTGCTAAGGGTTTTCCTCAATTTTTTTCTAAACGCTTGTAGATATTGAGCTGATTTTTGGTATGCAACTTTACCTTGATGAGTTGTAGATCAAGTTTGCATTTCGTTCCGCTTCAATGATTTTTGACGGAATTATGTGTCATTTTTAATTTTAAGAGGGAACCAGATTACACTTGCTGGTAGGAGACAAGTATTGCTAAGTCAATACTCTCAGAATGCTTGTTATTTTTTAGTTATCTTTCAGCCTTATTGGAGTAATATTTTTGGGCTAGGTAAGGACTTTTACGCTGTAAATGAAAATTTCTATCTTAACCTGTTTTGAATAAAACAATTTACTGATCTTTTCAACTTGGAGTGAATAAGCATTTATTTAAAATATGTGAAATGAAAAAAAAAAAAAGAACTCCACTTCATGGTTGATCTTTATTTAGATTAATATTATCTTTTAACATGTTTAAATCACTGAACAACAAATTCATTGCCTTAAGAGCTGTATTCTACAAAATAATAAATATAGATGTTTATCTTACGACTTTGTTTTTTATAACTTTCTGGGGTGATACTTCATACAAAAACCTGAAAGCCAAGGAGCTTGAAAAATATAAGTCCAACAGTTGAAGATTTTTTTTTTAATTTTTAACTATCTTTCAAATTTTACCTGCGTACATTTAATTTTCTTTTTTTTTTCAAAGAATATATATCAATTCTGATGAAGTACCGAGATATTACACATTTCATGAAATATGGTGGTTGAGACAAAGGTTTTCTTATTTTAAATGTAATTCTGTATCTATTTTGTATTAATAAGCCGTCCCATGCGAAAAGGGACCTAGGTATTTTGACGTAATAATAAGAAAAAATCCAGTAAGGAATATGTCAACATTTGCATGTTGCGTTTGTTAATGTGTTAACATTATCAGATTCATTAGAAATAAATTACATTATTGTACAATCATCTGAAAATTTGCAATAAGGTCAACTGAAATAGAAATTTGAATATTTGGATAAGGGTTTCATATGCTTAGTGAATGGGACCGATCGTGGATTCATGTCCTCCTCGAAATGTATATGTTTGAATCTATAACCACATAGTGTTTTTTAACCATGAAATGAAATCTCTTTGAACCATTTTTCCTCAAATCACGAAAATTTGACCCCAACGAAAATATGTGATTTCACAGTATGTATCGAAATGGACATCTGTTGCATCAAAATTGGTACCGTATAAGATTTACATTATGACCCCTGGATCGAGGCCTCGGTTGCGCCTCGATTGACAATGGTATTCTTGGGGTGAAAAGTTTCGACGTTATACTCAACTACATGCATAATTTATATAATAATGCTCAGGACTGATGTGATCCGTTGACAGGGAATGCTGTAGCATATCGTATTTAAAGGAAATCATTTAATTGATTTTGTCTTTCAACTGCTACTGCCATCCTAAAAAATTTATTCTTGCAGTGAAATGACAGATATGACAAGAAAAGTAATTTTTGTGTATTAGTACTGAAATCCAGAAGAAATTATAATATCACATGATGAAGCTAATATTTTCATTACCGATGTGGTATTGATACGTCAATTTATTGGCCAAATTGAGAATGTTCTACACTGTAGATGTAATTGTGACAACTTGATCACCTATCAGGATTTGTCTAGCTTTTGTTATACACTGAATAAATCCCCACGTTGTGCAATTTTAACCGTAAGTAAATACTTTTCAGTGCTTTGAGTACATAAACTAGAATGTATAAAATCAGAATAAGTAACGAATTAAGAATATTGGAAAGTATCTAAAATATTGCTAATACAGCTGTTTATCTCATTCACGCTTCCACGTTGTCACGGGCGATGCGGTTGCCATCTCCGGGCAGCCAATAAGAATCGCGGAAAAATTGCCCGCCATTACCTCCGACAAAACACACAGATGTCGGAGGTGCGAGATGACATCGTTTAACGCAATTTATCCGCTGGGTAAATGAAAATTGTGAAGTCCAATGCATGGGATATATGTAATAAATATACGAGGTATCTGGAAACAATATATCAGGTGAGTTTTATTCATTTCTTAAGTCCAAAACATGGAAAAGCAAGTGTTTACGTTGCGTAAACAGCTGATAAAGGCATGTCATGTGGAAGACCGAAACACGACTGTCTGTTAAAAATAAGTTATTCAGGTATATTAACGAAGTTAGTGATAATGTAAGTGGAAATTAAAGAGAGCAATGTTTAGATGTTGTTACACTAGTATCACGTACAATAGCGATTCACAAACTTTGACTTTAACTTATGGGCTCAGACTAGGACTCGACCGTTTAAAGCTTATCTCGGTGAACTGAATATCAATTTTCGATAGTGAGAATGCTGCGAAAAATAGTGTGTATTTTTCACAATATTTTATCTTCAAGACTTTTGTGATTGTATAAAGCTTTATGAATCTAAATTAAATTGTATCATTTGTGGGTCATGAAATGCTGACTGTAGACAGCAAAATCCATGCAGTTCCTCAGATGGGTCACAGTCATCATGAAAGGAAGACTATTTTTGAATTATCGAGACGAGTTGTATGCTTACTGATATTACATTAAGAAAAGTATATGACATTAAGATACTTAGTTACAAAGCCAGTATGTTTATTCAAGTGAAGATGTCAATATAAGCGCATAACTATGAAAACTTGACAATATATATTAAGCTTACAATAAAATAACAGATAAATGGTCGTTTCTCTGCTATACATTATTGATAATTATTTAGTCTTGGTGAAAACACTGAGGATAGTTAGCTGCAAGTTTATTTATGAGATCATGTTTTTAAAGATGCTTGGACACAGATTTGAAGTTAATATTTTCTCAAATTTTCTGTATAATTTCATGACTTATATGTTGATATAGCATTTCATAATAAAATATAATAAAAATCTTATTTCATCTCGTAGTTATTGAAACTTCAAATTTCTGAAAGCGTTGGATTGACACATCCTTGCACTTTCACAAATTTTAATTTTATTCTTAATACTTAAGAAAAGTCGCAATTTTTGTTGTGTATTAATGAAAAATATTAAAACTATAATCCAGAAAATTCAGAGTAGAAATATTCGAAAGCAAAACCCACTCACAGTATTGTCAGTCCGTACTCAGTGGTGTGTGCAGACTTTAACAATTGAACACACCTGGTGAATCGTAAACATTAACAATAACAGAGCTCGTGCCCTGTTTACAAAAAAATTACGTTTCACGGGTGTATTCAATTTGTTAAACTCTGTACACAACACTGAGCACGGGCTGACGATATTAGTGAGGGGGTTTGCTTTCGCACATTTCTACTCTGAATTTTCTGGATTATAGATGTAATGTTTTTCATTAATACACAACAAAATCGCTTCTTTTCTTGAATGTTAGGGATAAAGATAAAATTTGTGAAAGTGCAAGGATGTGTAAATCAAACGCGTCCAGGAATTCGTAGTTCCAATAATTTCCAGATAAAATAAGTTTTTAATTATATTTTCGTGTGAAATGCTATTGCAATATGTAAGTCGTGATATTATACAGAAAATTTGAGAAAATAATAACTTCAAATCTGTGTCTAAGCATCTTTAAAAGCATTAGAAAAATCCAAGTCAAAGGACTTATTTATATTTTAATAAATATTGCATGCATTCAGGATCAATGATGGAGCGCAAGAGGAAACAGAAAAGAATCTTCACCCCTGTGTCTTAACAGAATGTCCAAATGAATTGTCAACAGGTAACATGTATGTATATACAATAGGAACATCACCATGGACTAGTTTACCAGTTAGATATGCAATTAACAAATGATAATAGAGAAAGGAAATTGCAAAAATATAACCGTTTCCTAATGCATCAAAATCTCTTAACCCACTCTTGACACAAATGTTTTTTATGCAGTTAAAGAAAATGAAAATCAATACTGGAAGTAATATTCTTAAGGACCCTATATACACTGACGAAAAATGATTTTTGAACTTTGAGAAAATTATATAGTGTAAAGGAGGATATTTTGAAATTAACCAATTCATTTTTGATATAGGGAGCGTGCTTTTTTTATCCAGGAAAAATCTTCAAAGATAATGAAGTAATTATAAATAAAATTCACTTTTGCTTACTCAAATGGAGAAAATACATGCAAATAAAGTTTTCAACTACTCTATCTTGATCTAATATAATGTTTAGAATACTTGGATTTATTTTAAATTATGTCATACAGTGCAGATTACAATTTATTCTATTTCTATATCAAATGATGGGTCAGTCTAACTACACAAAAGTACCCTGAAATTAGGGTGGAGTGTAGAGAGGGTCCTTAAGTAAATAAATAATTCTTAAATCTCTTTCTTATTTTAAATTAATTAAAAATCACACCTTCTAGATATTGTTATTTTTTACTTAACTTGTGCTATACTCATAGATCCTTAGAAAATCTCTTTTTTTATTTGTAAAGAATCCTTGAATCCATTTTACCAAAATCAGCAAGGCAACTTTTAGAACTACAACAACAGAGAGAACCTTCCATCTGCAGAACAAACTAAATAATCTTCTACAGCTCCACATGTCAACAGAAGAAACCTTCCATCAACAGAGACTAAATAATCTTCTACAGCTCCACATATCAACAGGAGGAAAAAAGACCTTCCTGTCATTAAGAAAAAAGCAAATGAAAAAAAAAAATTTTTTTGGGTTGTTTGTATATCATCTATACCAACATGAAACATTATTGAAAAATTTGAATTTTTGTCATCAGAAGAAAGTCCGCTGTATGTAGAAAAATGGGACAATACAAATGACAAAAGAATTGTTTCAGTCAGCATTGATATTTTTCTGGTAAATAGTCCATAGTTGTATATTAACACTGATGAGGCTAAGGTACAATTTTGGATTAATTGGTGTAACATGAATGTTTGATGTGTCAGTGATTAGTCATGTGTTTGTTGACTTTGTATATATGTTAGGTTTTTTTTAAAAAAAGATCAGTGATTTTTTCACTGACTTCAAGAGAGGCAGACTTTGCTACATCTGTCTTTGGTGTTTGAGAAGATTTCTAAAGATTTTCTGTATATATTCCTATGTAAAACTTTCATTACCCATTGTGGCTCACATTACCCCTGGGGTCATGACCTGAACAAAATTGATTTTGTTTTTGTTTGTTTGTTTGTTTTAAAAATGTGTTGAAATTGACCCAGTAGTTTTTGAAAAGAAGCTGAAATTATGAATAGTTAACAGACAGACGGACGGTCAGACAAAATGTGATCAGTAAAGCTCACTTGAACTTCCAGTTCAGGTGATCTAAAAATGTTATTTTTTGCGTTATTCTTATATTATGATGAGCAATAAATTATATCTATAATATTATATCGGCATATGATCGTATATAAGAATAATTTCCAAATAATATTACTACTGAACAAAAATAAATACCTGTATTCAATCTCCAATTATATATTACAAGAAAAAAAGACTAGCTGATTTATCAGATATCTCAAGAATTACGGTATCTGTATATGTCATAGTGATATACATCAATCCTGGACACAATTTTCTGACTAAAAAGTTTTCTCCGTACCGTATTGCGAGTAATGCTGTCTCTCTCCCTCCGTGCGTGTGTCTGTTTGTCAATTTCTCTTTCTTTCTCAAGTAAATATTCGTCAGAACAATATATCGACGACAATATATGCTGACCTAAACTGTACATATTGTCGCTGACGACAATATGTGCTGGTGCTTGACTGTACATTTTATCGTCCATTATGCAGGAAGAAAATAAGGCTCGTCTCGGTACATATTGTCGCCGGCGACAATATGTACCGATGGACGACAATATGTGCAGTGAGGGTAGGTACATATTGTCGCCGACGACAATATGTACAAAACGACAATATGTACCGTCACTGGGTTCTTTATCGTGCCATCGCCTACCGTGACACAGGATCTCGGTTTTCAAGGTATCATCCAAAAGACCCGTGACTTTCACTTCTAGTGCCGGGCACTTGGCGAAGGAACAGTCACTACCTATGTTTAAGTCTTAGGTTTGACGAGGCGCAGCGAACGAGAATCGAACCCGGGCCTCCCGATCATAAAGCGAACGCCCTACCACTAGGCTACCGTGACCGGTAATAACAATTTGAGACGTGTAGCACTGTCATTAATATTGACGAAATTCTGAAATATATATATGATACTGTTAAGTAAATGATTTATATAGTGACTTGACAATACAATGAGAAACAATTGTTCAAACATCTAGCCCTATACAGTGTGTCACTGCCTAGGGAAATTTGATAGAAGAAAAATAATACTTTCTAAATTTGACATTAACATATTATTACTGTTATATGAAATGAACAGTATTATTAAACTTTTCTGTATACCCATACCTTGTCTTTATTTATTTTGCACATTTTGTATCATTTTATTGGTATCCTTGGATTTAACATCTGTGATATCATTCATTGATACAGAATTATTTTGTTTCATCTTGAAATATGCCACTGCGGAAGACTTAATGCTTGTGCTGTAAGGACATCCTTCAAACCTAGCAATTTGAACTGTTGAATGCAATTTATTTGTTCAACAGCATGTGAACATTTTCCTTAATCCTTTAAGTTTGTGTTTCACCTTGAGGTTTAGAACAGATGAAGTACATTGACTTTCGATCATTAATTAAACTGTCTTTTACAAAGTAATTTCCGCATGCCCCTAAAACCATAAAGGGTTTCTGAAATACGTATCACAAAGTCCTTGCCTAGAATCATAAACAAATAACAGACTGAGGCAAAAATTGAAATTTGGAATGATTATTTTAATTTTAAACATGACTAAAACATTGCAAGTTTATTTAGTACTGTATAACCTAAAAATACAAACACAGGAAGATTCTTTTTTTTCTTCAACTTTATGTGAAAAGTTAAATTTGTGGGAGTTTTTTACTCAAGTGTGTTCTTCAATCACACATCATGGCAAAATTTCTGTAGAAATTCGTGAGCAAACAAGCCGATAGAAAAGTTTTTCCATGTTATTTACGTTAGTTTGTCAGAATCTGCAATCACGTGACTTTCCTTGCCATCGGTGGGCGGAGCGTGGATGCGGGAATTAGATGAGGTATTTCTGGTGGTAAACCTTGCTTCTACCATTTCTATTTAACTCGGAATTTCGAAGTAACGTAAGTTGACATTCTATTAATTTTCAATGTTAAAACATCATGAAATCAAACCATTTTGAATTACATATACTCCTAGTGTTGAATTTATTTAATTTTATTTCATATTTTGATAATGAAAGAGGTTTTCTTTTGAGACGCAATCAGCGACCCAAACTTTTTATGAGTGTAATTATTAAAGAAAAGGTCACAATCAAGTGTCACAGTCTCTAGCAGATAAATATAACTAAACAAGTTGTCGTTATTTTGTTATTGGTTTTGATATTATTTTTAATTAAAATGATTCACTTGTTTTAATTGGTATATCTTACTTCCATTCGCAAGAGCATGTAGATTAATAGAAAGATTAATTAGAGAAAAGTTGAATTATTGGAACTACCTGATTACCCACGGTGTCACGCTGGGATGAATCTTTGATCCAATCTTCTTTTTCCGGCTTCCGATCTCGTTCTTAATAAACGAATGGAGCAGACGACGCTCGAATTCACACGTCATAAACAGGACTAGAATCAAAGCCAGACATCTTTTAAAAACAGATGTATCTTTCTGTTTATATTTTTGAGGATTCAAACAATGCATTTAACTAACTCCTGTGGATCAATATAGAATAAAAAAAAACCCATTGCTTTGTACAATTTTTATTATGAAACTTGTCTTCAGTCTCAGTTTGAATAATATAAATGTCGATATTTCGAAGGACCAGATTAGTCACTTTTCTTCTTCGGTAAATTATCTCCACTTGCAATCACAATGTAGCTATATGTATGACAGAAAGAATTCTCATGCCCCCCCCCTTTTTTTTCTAGCCAGTTTGATATTGGCTAAGTTTGAAGAAGGTTTTGTGTTTGAACGGAGACAGCCTCAAGGCAAGAATTAAATCGTGCTGCACATTGAATAGAAATATCTAGAACTGAATGCAGTAGACTCATTTTTACTTGTTCATTCGTCATTTGAATTAGCTTGTATTAGGGAGAGGGTTTCGGGTGGTTGATAAGGCATAGATCGCGGTATGCTCAATTAAATCTAACGCAATTTTTTACATTTCTCTTTTGAAGCGTGAGAAAAATGTCACCTTAATTGCATAGATATTTTCTCCCCCTTTCATAATAATAAATATTATTTAATATATTGCATTTGAACGATGTAACGCCACTGAACGTTTTGGGCTAAAAAAGGGGGGAAAAAAAAAGAATTGATATAAGTGACATGTGTATACATCTAAAGGAGAAATATGTATTTTTTTTTTTAAAGTCTCAAACACTGCAACATTTACAATACCACAATTTGAGATATCGCAATTCATACAGGGTTTGAAAATTTTTCTTTTGGGAAAAACTTTTTAAAACTTCACAAGAATTACAAGCTATAAATTTTGAAACTATTATCAAAATAGCTTAAATCTAGCTTTATCTTTCAGCTTTGTGGAGTAGCTGAGACTTTTTTCGTGAAAAGTTTTCTTTTATATATTTTAAATCCTTGAACTGTTTTGAATAAAACACTTTACTGATCTGAATAAATTGGGGGTGAATCAGCAGTTATTTAAAATATATGAAATTAAAAAAAAGGAACGGAACTTAATGGTTGCATTTTCATAAGATTAATGTTACATGTATCCCATATAAACCACTGAACCGCAAAGAATGATTCTCTATAAGATAATTTTCCGGCCTACGATAAAATCACTTAAAGTGTGATCTGCAGGGGCTCGTTTCTCAAAAAGTCGTAGATCTGGGCCTAAGTCAGTCCCACTAAGTAAGTTACGCCAAAAGAGCCATAGCTGCCTTACCGACGACACGGCCGACTCAAGAATTTAAAAGGAAATCACCTGTTTCTATTTATAGATATACTGTACCTTTTCAATTCATGAGCAAACTATGTAATATGATTTGAGGACGAGTGTTGCAGGTATGTCAAATGACAATCATTTTACTTGTTCAATACTCTAATTCTGAGACAAAAGATTTACGCAGAAAATCAATAAAAATAAAACAAGTTGCTATGAATTTGCAAACTTTAATTAAATAGTTAAGGACTGTCTTTTCCCGAGTTACTTTCAAAGTGTAATTGTATATTATATCTTTCTGAAATTGTGTATGCTATAAAACATAATAAAGAAAAACGTAGAAAAGATACACAAAGAAAAAAAATTTAAAAAAAAAACATAAATGGGAAAAATGTGGGGCTTGAACTCGCAATCACCATATTTACATTCCAGCAATCATACCGCTGCGCCAACGAAGTCAATGATGTCAAGCTGATAAATTTAAGACAGATTGCTAAATCTTAGCATTATATGAGAAGTAAAATTTAATATATATTTTCATCATTTTCAATATGAAGACCACCTTTAACCAAAATTATCTAAAGGGAATGAAGTGCAGACATATCCAAATAAAATTATTCAAAAGTTGTTTTCCTGGTTAAAGGTGGTCTTTGGCAACAGTTTGTCATCGTTAGGTGGAT